ATTATATATACTCGAATTTCCGAAATCCGAGTACTTTGCTGCAGGAAATCGGTCTTGTTTTGGATTTCTGAAATCCGGACGTAATACAAAACGCGTACTTTCAGATTGCGGAAATCCGAATCCTTTAGAAAACCTTAAAATGAGTTTTTTGCACAATCCCAAAACCTGCTATGAAAAACTAGTATATATTTCATCACAATCATAGCACTAGCACCAACAATTTAATGTTAACATTACAATCCGAACAATTCAATGTTAACATTACAATCCGAATTTATCAAAACATATATTTGTTTGCATCTATTTAAATAGTTGTCATTCCAAATAACTTGCAAGAATACTAAATGACTCTCAATTGCAGCTGTCATTCACAGGTCTTCTATCTACTCCTGGGTGCGAGAACGAACAAGAATTGGCATCATGACCTTGTTGTCCACATCTCCAATATTCTCCCCGGCTCCGGCATCCCCTGTAATCCATTTGCATTCTATGTCTCCTTTTTTGTCTTCGTCCCGGTCCTGCATGCAACACAAGACGCTCATAATTCGGAATGATGTTCCAATTGACCGTCGGCCATTGTTCCTCATCGGGAACCGGAACAAAGCTCGTGTAATCAAATTGTCTGCGCCACGTTGGAAGGCGCCACACACTATGGTATAGATCAATAGGCCGATCCCCTTTTCTTCGACAAACTTGGAGTGCGTGCGTACAAGGCATCCGGTACTCTTGCCACTTCCTGCACGAACACCTATGTTCATCGTAGTTCACCGTATGTAAAGACCCACCCCTACCACTTAGCCGTGTTGCAGTAACAACACGCCACATAGCATCATCACCATCAAAAGGGGTGGCTTCAAAACTGGCTGCTTTGTCGTTTATTTTCTCGTATTTTTTCCATAACTCAGGAGGGATCGGTGTCATTCAATTTCTTGCAGACAATTGTTCTTCTCTGTAGAATTTAATAGTTTTGCGAAAGGTTGCATCGATCAAGGCTCTAATTGGTAAAAATTGGATCCATTTCAACGCATTATTGTAACTCTCAGAAATGTTGGTTGTCGCTATGCCCCAATGGCGAAGACCGGCTTTCAATCGAGCCCAGTTACTCCCTCCAATCCCTCGAAGATACTCCCATGCAGCAGGTTTGAATTCAATAAGCTCTGCCCTCATACGGTTGTATTTCACTGTTGAAAGCGTCATGCCCATCTTCCAACATAATCGCTTCACCTGTTTGCTATTATATCGCGACACAAGATTGCTGCGAACGTGGCGGAGGCAAAGAAAGTGGCCACCATCACCTAAATCACACCATTCATCCATCTGTGACATTGCGCCCAACAACCTTGCATTCCGGTCGGATATCACACTTACGATTCTATCATACACAACCCACAACCTCAAATTCCTCATAAAAAATGTCCAACTCTCTACTGTCTCCTCATCCACAATAGTAAATGCAACCGGTAAAATGTGTTTGTTTGCGGTATAGACCACCGCAACAAGCAATTTACCATTGTATCCACCACGCAAGAAGATTCCATTGATACAAATGACCGGTGGACATTCAAAAAACGTCGCAGCCACCGGTGCAAATGACCAGAAGACGTATTTAAATGTCCTATTTCAATACATGTAAAAAAAAAATACTAAAAATATTTCAATACACGAATAAACCTTGATATTTACCGTGGAACTTCTTCGAAATTCAAGGTCCAATCACCATAGACCGCTTCTATGGCTTTCCTCCTCCCGTGCCACGCCCTTTTGTATGGCACATCTACTTTCAATAAGGTCTTCACATCTTTCTGTGCCGAGGCTACCGTATAATCTACGTTGTTCTCAACCTTTCTCCTGATGAGTCTAACAATTAAAGACGCGTCCACACACCGATTGTCATTATCATTCACGGGAGTCATGCAATTATGTGCATCATGCCATCTCACAATTTCATGAAGGCCGTGAGCTTTCAAAGACACACGCATCTTCTACTCACATAGTGGTTCACCATTCTGACTTTCCACATTTAATGTTCTGCACCGCACAGCCCACGTCGTTGGACTACTCGCGGCGACCATATATTCCCTTTTATAATGGATGTTCCATAATTTAACAGCATGCTTTGCTTCTAATTGAGATTTGAAACAAACATCAATGTCCATTCCTTCGGGCGTTTCATCCCACATCTTAAGAGCAAACTCATCCTTGTCCACACATGAGGCATCCCATTTCTCCATCTTACTATATACATGGCGTCATGGCAATGGATTACAATCCCTTTCCTCATTTTCCAACATTTCATCATCACTTCTTCAAAATCACTCTCTCCGGAGACATCACAGTCTTCTTCGCTTTCACTTGGAGCTATGTAGTCGGAATTCGGCCCTTCCCGGTAGTCATCTTGTGCAAATAAAGGTGTCTCCTCTCCATCACGGTTTCGAGAAGTACTAGCACGTTCCCCCCTTGGAAAACCACGAAATGACACGTTTTCCAAACTCGCTTCTCTTTCTTCTTGAGTGATATCTTCCAAATCTATGTATAAATCCAAACATGACATTGGATCTACACGGTTCATGAACCCTACTTGCGAATCATTCTTGATCTTCACTACACGCTTATCACCGGAACTATCGAAAATCAAAGAAAAGTGGAGTTTCACGTGTGCTGGATCCCAACCAAGTGTCATACAAATCTTACTAATCAATCCCTCATATGACAACCTTTCCTCAACAAACAAACCATCATCCGGCATATTCGAAAAAGTGTTGATGCTCCCATTCTCTATCACATACTTGCTTGTATGATACAAATTAAGCATGTATGATACATTACGTGCTATTGATAACTGTTTAAAAAAAACATCAATAACTAATCATTTCTTAATAACAAAATCAACAAATACACCATACATACTCCATTCATAATTCAAAAAACCTATAAAATACTAAAATACTTATAAATCAACTTCCATATCTCATGAATAACTATGATTTCTCATCTCTAACCTCAAAATCAACACCTAAAACATCCAAACAACTAACCAACATAAACCCTAATCTATCATACATCATTCTAACAATCAAAATAACACAAAACTAAACTAAATAACATGGTTTTGCAATCCAACCTCTTTCAAATAACGATTCCCACGTGTCTAGAGGCAAGAATGCATCAAAAGCTCCAATTCGCCCTTGTTTGAGCTGCAAAAACAGAAAATCCAACTCAGTTCTCGAATGAGAACTGTTTGAATTTTTTTTTTTCTTTTATAGTACGTTAAACTCGGATTTACGAAATACGCGTCCGTAAGTAACTCGGATTTTAGAAATCCGAATTACCGTGGCGTCGGATTTCCTGAATCCGAGTTTGGTCAATTCCGAATTTTTTTATTCATTTTTTGGTCCTCCAATTTATGGCACATGCCTACTTCCACCAACCAAAATTAAAGGCAGTCGGATTTCCAAAATCCGAATACAGAAAACCGAATTACGGACTTCCGGTTTTTGGATTCAAAAATTTCGTACCTCGATTTTCTTCTTTTTTTTTTTTTTTTTGTACACTCGGATTTTGTAAATCCGAGTACTACTGTTCATTTAAGGAGTCCAGGTCCTGGACTCCTTATTTGAGTTCAAATATTTTGCGCCTCAATTTATTATTTTTTAACTAAATTCGGATTACGGAAATCCGAACGGCACTGTTCATTTCAGAATTTTTAAAAGCTATTATTCAACAAAATTTATTTAATTATTATTTTATTATTAAATATAAGTTCGGATTTACGAAATCCAAATCTCTATTTTTAATTAAAACTCGGATTTTGAAAATCCGAGAGATATATTTCTATCCACTAATATTCTCAAAATTTCAAATTTGTCCACCTTTATTTTAATTAATTTTTTTTGGGAAATAACCCTAAAAGAAAGCCAGTATTACTACTTCATAAAAAAGCGCTATTTCAATCAAATGACCCCCCAAGTCTTATTCGGGCCTTCCTAGTCTTCTTCCCCCATCCCGGCTCTTCTTCATCTCTGTTCTTCTCCCCTTCTCCTTTATTTTTTTTTTTTCCAATCCTTCCAATTTAGTCGCTGGAGCTGGAATTCGGTCAAGGAATCCGGTACGTGGGTATCCGTGTCAGACCGTGTGGTTTCGGATATAAGCCACAAAGCGGCGAGTCCAGGTAGCTTAGTTTACACCTTGTTGTTTTTTTTCCTTTGTTTCTGCACACTTGAAAGAACCCATAACTGAGCTGGGAGTAAAAATGCTTAAGTTGGGTGTACATGTTTCGCTATTCCCCCTCTTTAATGGATATTTCCAACTAATTTAGCTCTTTTTGGACCATGTGAAGCCGAGTCTCAGAATTGCAAGCTATCGAGTCAATGTAAAGCAGGTTTTAAATATGATTAGAATATCTCATAGGAGTCGCTAAAAGAGTTAAGAAGGAAAAAAAAGAGTAATTAGCTAAACATTTTAACAATTGAAAGCAATCTTCGGTTTTAATAGGAATAATAAGAATGTTGAATTTTACAACACCCCTAGTGACAATTTTCCCTGCTTTTTAAAGGTTGCATTTTTAGGTGGGTTAAGTTTCAAATTGAAGGACAGGTTGCGGTAAATTAAAAATTGGTTTTTGATGATTTAAATCGACTTGGGAGAAACTATAATTTGTACTTGATGATCATTGTGCCTTGAATGAAGTATTGCATTCTGCTGTGGTCCTCAAGATTTTAACTCAACTGTTGCATTCTGCATCCTTGTCCAAAGTTTTCTTTTCCTTTAAGTGATGGTGAGATATGATTTGTTTAGGCAATTCAGCATTGTGAAAGAAATGTGTTACGATTCTTATAGAGAACCCTTATTGTAGGAAAGAGGGGGTGATTTTTGTTGCTTCTTGTTTTTATTTCATGTTTTTTTTTTTTTTTTGAGAATTTCAATATAGATGATAATGAATCCCCATATAATTTTTTTCCCCTTCTTTGTGTATAGAAACTAGACACAAGCCTTTTTCAGAAATGAAGATCATCAGCTGCTACATGGGCATATCAAGGCCTAATTTATTGCTTGGGCATTTTGAGTTGCCTGTCATCACATTTTGTGAGCCCAAGTTGATTTCGATTGCTACCAACAATGGGAGTAGGTTCATCCAGTTACGCTGTTCGGCTACAGATAGAACACTTTCCACTGCTTCCGTAGATTTGTCCTCATCCGAGACAAACATAGGAAATAAAGAGTATTCGAGGCAGCATAAGATGTCTCCGTCATTGTATACTCACCCTAGTTTAGCACAGATGAGAGCCGAGAGGACAGAAAATCGTGCCCGTGTCTATGATTTCTTGATGAGCATTGGTATTATACCTGATGAGCTTGATGGGTTAGAGCTTCCTGTCACTGTTGAGGTTATGCGTGAGCGTGTGGACTTCCTTCACACGTTAGGCCTCACTATTGAAGATATCAACAATTATCCGCTGGTACTTGGTTGTAGTGTAAAGAAAAACATGGTTCCTGTGCTTGATTACCTTGGAAAACTGGGCGTTAGGAAGTCTACACTTACGCAGTTTTTGCGCCGATACCCACAGGTTCTCCATTCCAGTGTTGTTGTGGATCTTGCGCCTGTTGTCAAGTATCTTCAAGGAATGGACATAAAGCCAAATGATATTCCTAGGGTTCTTGAGAGGTATCCTGAAGTGCTTGGGTTTAAGCTTGAAGGTACCATGAGTACTTCGGTTGCTTACTTGGTTGGAATTGGGGTCGCGAGGAGAGAAATTGGTGGGGTGTTGACAAGATACCCGGAAATTTTAGGAATGAGAGTTGGCCGTACAATTAAACCATTCGTGGATTATCTACAAAGTTTGGGAATACCACAATTAGCTATAGCCAGACTGATAGAGAGCAGACCTCATATTCTTGGGTTTGGACTTGAAGAAAGGGTCAAATCGAATGTCAAATCCCTTTTAGAGTTTAATGTGAGGGAAACAATGCTTGCATCTGTGATTGCTCAATATCCCGAAATCATTGGAATTGATTTAAATCCAAAGCTTGCAAGTCAAAGGGAATTCCTTCATTCTGTCATTGATTTGGATCTTGTAAGTTTTGGCAGGGTTGTAGAAAAGATGCCGCAGATCATCAGCTTGAATTCTGCAGCCATAGTGAAACGCGTGGAATTTCTCAAGGAATGTCAATTTTCCTTGGCACAGATGAGGGAAATGGTTGTTGGATGTCCGCAGTTACTTGCTCTTAACCTTGACATAATGAGAAGGAGTTTTGATTTCTTCCAGGACCACATGGGAAGACCTTTGGATGACTTGGTTTCTTTCCCTGCTTTTTTCACTTATGGTCTCGTATCGACGGTTAGACCAAGGCATGCAATGGTTGCAAAGAAAGGTTTGAAATGTTCTCTTGCTTGGCTCCTCAATTGTTCTGATGTGAAATTTGAGGAGCGCATGTCGTATGATACCATTGCCTTGGATGAGATGGAAGCTGGCGATTCATCATCATCATTCAATATGAATGCTTTACTGGATAATACCAGAAACAATGACGACGAGGAGTCAGAATATTCTGATTATGAGGATGACACTGATAATTGATATGGACAGTATTTACCACTTATACTTGTTCTGGTTGCTGCAAATTTAGAACAACCTTTTGTTAAACTTGTGAGAGTCTTATCTGCTGATGCCATAGTTCTGTTTTAGGAACCTACTGCTTTAAATGATAAGCATTGTTTTTGTATTTATCTTTTACCTGTGATTCCAAAAGGTATATTAACTAGTTAGATTCTGATAATATACTTCATTATACCTTCTCCCTCATTTTGACATTCCAAACGATTTTATTTTCTCTAATTTTGTCAATCCACCTGCGACAATAAAGGAATGGCTGTCGGATTTTAATTTTGATGAGTACAGTCGCCTATTATATAATTCCTGGTAAAATTAAACAAGAAAAGCAGCATTTGAGTGCCTCCCGCAGTCCATCTTCAACTCCTTCAAGATGTGGGTGCCTTTTACTTCAACCTCCAGCCATCCAGTTGAATTTGTGCATTGCAAAACGTCTCGTTCAGGTAGATAAACCCTTCTCTTTCTTTGTGTTCCTGTTCTCGTGGTTTGGTTATGTTTGGAAAATTATCTGTCGGTGTACACTTTACTTTTGGTCTGTAGACTTTGCTCTATTGGTTTCTGGTTTTTAGTTGGAATGCAGCACTGTTTTGAACTTTTGTTTGCTGGAGATTGCTGTATTTCTTTGGTTATTTGATCGACAGATTCAAGATGAGTTGCAAGTGAAAGATAGTTATAGAGAAAGGAAGTATATTGGTTTGGAGGTGTAGTGTAACTTTCTACGTAAAGGTAAAATTTGTTTTGGGAGCTCCAAATTGGTCTTGCTTCTTATAGCAAGAGTGGTGGGCTTGCTTCGAGACTGCAACTGTTGATGGAAACTTAAGCTTAGGTCATTTCTGTTTCTGATTCTTTGGACAGGGGTAGCAGAAACAATGTCAAAATTTTTCCTGCTTTCAACTGTCAAAATTGTCTAGTCAGAGTTCTCTAGAGCTCTGGTATTGTTTGTTTTAGGATATCGTATATGGATGGAATAAAAATTGATTGTACATTATATTAGTAGGTAGTTTCCATAGTTTTTTTTATCAGAGTTTAGTGCATTGCACAAGTTTTGTGCATGATGGATATTATAGTTGGATTTAGATTATATGTCATAGGCATTGTCCTTTAGTTTCCCTTTGGAATGCGGAAGATGTGGAAGATCTATTTGTTGAAAACTTCTGCTTGATTAGTTAGCATTGGCTTCAAATTTGTGTCACAACTCAGGAGTATTCTTTGTTATTCTCAGGGATTCCAATTAAGTTAGTTTTTGTGGTTCAGTCTCGTTAATTTTCAACTTGGTAAAATGCTTGGTATCAATTGCATGTAATTGTCAGTGTGGTTTTTTAAGGATGATATTCTCATTCACTTGTATGGCGGAAATTTCTGGGTCTCGATTTCTTTGATCCGTGAGAGCATCTGTCAATCTCTTTTCATATACTACCCTTTGCAGTCAAGGCTTTGTTGTACTTGGGCAGAAATTATTTGGGATTTATTTTGAGGGCTTTTTTTGGTCCCATCTTCTATGTTTCATTGCATATATTTCCGAAACAGTCTGGTCCAGGGGATACTAAAGCAACATATTACTACAAAGAAGTGACTCTGTAAATTGCCCCTAATTTTCAAACCAAACTAATGTTCAAACCAAGATGACCTCCTTGGATCGGAAGTCATAACGAGGTCCCCTAGTCTCCTACACACATGCTTGAACCACATTTTGGATATGAATGGCCCCCTTTTAACACCACCAGGTACAAAAGTGAAAAAAACTTCCATAATGTATTTTAAAAACTGGAATATCTCGCGATAAATGGGACAAATTTCTTTCTATATATGTTTGGCTGAAATCCTAACTGACAAAGTTCATTTAGCCTTTGAAAGCTTCCACAGTTCTAATGACTCTTTCTACCTTGACTTAGCTGAATGATGCGGACAAGGAGGGATCGAAGGACTCTATCAGTAGGTTCTTCCATATTTATGCCCAGGATCAGTCCTGCATCACTGACATATATCTAAATTTCGGAATTCCAGCAGGGTCAGGAGTCATGGCATCTTGAGGCCCGGCAGGTTAGGAACTAATGTTTTGTGATGGTGATTTTGGAACCATGATGAGTCATGTATTATTGTAAATAGCTACATGCGAGTAATTTGTTCTGTTATTCCAGGGATTGATTCCAGAGTCAGGAGGAGTTAATAGGCCTTTGCTGCCAATGGCATTGGACCCATTAGTCTCCCTCCCTCCCTCCCTCCCTCTCTCTTCTCTCCTTACGCACTTAATTATTCAAGTTCATTGGCAAACCCTCAATTCTTGAATTTTAGATTTAACTGCTGAAAGATTGTCCATTAGATGTAATTGGTATGTGTTGAGTATGTGGTGTATAAGGATAGGGGTGCCTTGAAACTCAATGTGCTAGATTCTTTTTTAGTTCATGTTGTTTAGGCGAACAAGGTTTTGAAATCCTTGCAAACCTGTATGGTAAATGTCAAGAGATAGGGTAAAATAGTGGGGGTTTCTTCCTTTTTTATTTCAGTGTAAAAGTTTTTGTAGTTTAAGTTTCTCAATGAATATCGCCCCCTAGTTTTCATTCTTGGATTTTTTTCTATAATGGGAACCCCGCTTCTAGCTTAGTAAGCATTCTAATGTGAAGAGAACACGAATAATTTGAATGGTAGAGTTTTTGGATAATAGTGCTCTAGACAATGAGTAATTTGTTCTAGAAGTGGAAGTGGGTTATTTAAACAAGCTTTCCTGGTTTACTTATCCGCATTTCCCCCTTTCTGTCCTAGATGTCCGTCTTTCAGAGCGATTCAAAGGCAAACCATGATGCCTCCCCAACCTCAGCATTCTTTGTTGGTAGTGAAGGAACCAAAGTTTGTTAGCATGTGAAAATAATCCTTCTCAATGAGGTATATTTGTTTTGGAGTTATGGTAATGATGATTTTAAATTTACATTGTGCCATGTCCATTCAGTTAGAAGTCTTGACTAGCCATCATTTCTTTTGTCTGCAGTTCAACACTCAAAATGCATCGAGTTTGTTGTGTCAAAATTGTACAAATACATGCATTCAATCTCCGGAAGTGGAACTATCTTCAGCAGTTTGTTTTTTTTTTTTTATCACAAAACTGTTGGAAACTCTGCCTCCGGCCATTCATTATGCACGCAAAGTGTTGGACTATATGCGTGGCCCGAATGTATTTCTCTCCAACAAGTTTCTTCAAACCTCTTCTTCCCAAGGTTCGCCCAATCCTTGTTTCTCTATATCCAAATGTCGCTCAAAGGCATATCGCCCAATGCATATTCCTTCAACTTTCTCTTCAGTGCTTGTTCCAACCTTGCTAATCCATACTGCGCCCAAGCTCTTCATGCCCACTTCACTTAATTTTGTATAGAAATTGGCATCTATGCATCCATTGCACTGGTCAACATGTTTGCTAAAATGGTCTTGCTTCATCTTGCGCAGAAACGATAGGATGGAAAGAAAAGACTTGCCCACTTGGAATTCGTTGATTGCAGGGTACTTCAGGTGGGGTTATGGTGGAAGCATTGGGTTTGTTTCCAGAGATGCTATCCAGAAATGTGATGATATCCAGCTACTCGCAGAATGGCAAGTATTGAGACGTGCTAGGAATATACCTGGAAACGGAGAAGAATCCAAGGGTTAGGCCCAATGAAGTGACCTTAGCTTGCGTTCTTCAGCTTGCCCGAATCTTGGAGCTCTATAAGTTGAGCAGAGGATAGCCTATGCAAAGGCCACTGGATACTTTCAGAATATCTTTGTCTGCAATGTGGTAGAATAGACGCATCAATGATCTTTGATGAGATTGGTATACGAACAGGAATTTTTGCTCCTGGAATACCATGATAATGGGACTGGCTGTCAATGGTAAATGCAAAGAGGCTTTGGAACCTTTCCTCCTAATTTTTCTGGAAAGCATTAGGCCGGATGCTGTCACATTCGTGGGAACAATCCTGCGCGCACAGATGAATTAGTCTCCAATGCCGAGACATCTTTAAATCTATGGAGGAGCTGTTCCCCGTTGCTCCAAAACTGGAACATTATGGATGTATGGTTGAGCTCTTCGGTCGTGCAGGAATCTCCAAGAAGTAAGCTTACTCGATTCTATGTTTTGTAGAACCATGATGTGGTACTTTTAGCTTCCATGATGATGAGGAGTTTACGGATTGTAGGATGATAACAATGTGAAAATTGAACTATTTACAAGTACCATGGACTAGTATTTTTCTGAAGGCAATTACTTTCTCTATTATACCAAAAAGAAGATTATTGTTTAAAGATGAGAGTGCATTAGTGAAAATGAGGACTGCTTCCTTCGTAAACGAGTACAACATCTTCAACTTTCTTTAATCATTCTTCCTTTACACCAATTCTTTAATCAATATTTGGTTTTGTTTTTCTTTTTTCTTCTTATTTTTTCGCAATGGGGGCGCCATATTGACGTGCATTCCTGTTTAATCTTCACTGAATGTATATATATCATCCTTATCCTTATCCTTATATACTTAAATAAAAGGCACAGTAGGCAAGAAATAATACCTAAGAAATATTCAAGGACTACCGTCGAATCGATCTCGTCCGTCGGATGGGGTTGATATGATGTCAGCAACTTATCATGGGTAAAACAGAGATTTAATAAATCACTTTCAATAAAAGGCACAGTAGACAAGAAATAATGCCTAAAAAATATTCAAGGACCACCGTCAAATCGATCTCGTCGTCGGATGGAGTTGATGTGATGTCAGCGACTTATTAGGGGCAAAAATGAAAATTCAAAAATTCAGTTTATTCCAATTAAAAAAAAACACGTAACCTTTTGAAAAAAATAACCCCTAATCTATAAAAGTACGTTGTTTCAGGATTTAACTTTGGAATCCCCACTCCTGAAAACAATATATTTACAAAGACTTGAAAGTTTTTGGTTAAAAAACAGCAACAAAACGACTTCGTTTTGTGGGTTTCTCCAGGGAAAAAAAAATAAAAAACAAAAAATAACCCACACCGTTCAAAATCCCAAAACAACCTCCGTCATTGTTCCCAATTTTTTTTTCCCACTAATAACCTCCATAAGGCAGTGCTCCGCCTACTCAAGTCCCCCTTCATCGATTCAGCCGCCGCTGTCACTTCCCTCTTTGCATCCTCCGCCACCACTAAACCTCGAAGATATATTTTCCTTAAACATGCTTATCCAATTCATACCATCCCGATTCCACCTCCACAAATTTAACCAAACAAAAACCCTAAATTCCACCGGAGTCACCCCGTCGAAGAGATTTTGTAAGAATGACTTCCTTCACTTGTACGAGATCAAATTCGTGGGGGAGCAACTTCTTGTATCGTATCACGGAGAAAATGGAACTTTCTAGCTGAAATTAGGATATTATTAGATTAATAGTTGAAACTTTCTGGCTGGAATTTTGCAAAACTATGGAATTTGCGTAACAACGATGATGCTAGAGAAATGAAAAAATTGGAATCTTCAAAAAAAGCATGTACAAAATACTTCATTTGATCACAGTTTCTAGAACCGTGGAAATCATTGCTCCCATATGATCAACTCTTTGTGCTACATATAGAAAAAAGAAAAAAAAAAAAAGTGTTCCATATGCTCCAAATAGTTGGAGGATACATCGATTGGCTTTAGTTAGCATTGTCAAACGATTTCTTCATTGTATACTAAACAGTTCTCAGAGCTTAAACACATGTCTATTTAAATTTCAGATGCAGCAAAAAATTTGTGATGCATATCACAGTTTCAGATGCATGTCTGTCTGACAGATGCAGCATTCTGTTTCGAGTGTTGTTTGTTGGATGAAGTTGCTTTGTAATAGGAGAGCTGCGGCAACTAAATTATAAATTCGCTGATAATGCAATGATTTTTTTTTTTTTTTGCACTTTTGAATACAGAATCCGCTAGAGTGTAACTTCCTGTTGTTTCCACTGGCCTGAGATCGAGTTTTTGAGCCTTGAAGGAATCAGAATGGCATGTATATGATTGACGACTTTTTGTAATTTTCTCGATGGCATCCTTTGGAAATGGCTTTTAAGTACAATCCCCAAGTTTAGACCTGTCCAAAATAAATGACAAGGCTCTTGCAGCTCAGACAAAAAACATGCGTGGAAATGTTGACAGGACCAAGAATTTGGACGCGGTGAAATCTGAACTAAGACTTAGCGAGGGGAAAACCGTGACTGATATTTCATCTTTTTGTTTTGTGTTTGTGTGTGTGTGTGTGTGTTTCTTTTTTCCCTTTTTTTTTTCCTTCATCTACACCATTTTCCCATGTATTCGTTTGATGCTTTTCTTCTTCTTTTTTTTTTCCTTTTTTCGTTTACAACATTTTGGCAAATGCTTCCTATCACATGCGGACTATCAAATTTGCAAGGAACAACCATAATACTATAATGTCAAGCTTCTAATTTGAACTTGCGTCAAGAAAAAGAAAATTGCAATTTTTTTCCTAATTGACTATTCACTTACGCCGGTGGACGGAAACAAATATGATCATTCTGAATCTCTAAAGAACTAAGTTGGGGTAACATATTGCAAATTATTATAATTGTTGCCAACTAAAATACTTACTAAGTAATTGTTGTGCATTCACTTGCAAATGTAAATCTGATTTGTAATAATGAACCATGCATATTGTATACTAGACAAAATATGGTTTGCGTTTAAGGTCTTAATTTCAATAACTATCGTTTTGTAGGTTAAAGTTTTAGAGATTATAATAAATACAAATTACATTTTATTATAAATATTTGTCAATATTGACATCGATATATAATATATTAAAAATACAAATTGTTGTGCAACACACGAATATGGGACCTCTTTAAAATAATTGGTTGTAGTTTCAAAGATTTAATATTATTGGTTATAAGGTTATAAAAAAAACTTACCATAGAACAAGCATTATTAAATTTTAATAATAATCAAATTGACAATTAATTTAGGAAACATAACAGATCTTAGATTGACAATTACAGAATTAAACCTGTCATATTTACTTATTCTTGCTAATGCCTCTTGATTTTCTTATTCAAGCCAAAACCATCACATATCCTCCACTAAAATAACTTGATTTATGAACTGTCTTATTTTAATTTTCCTTCTCTCCTCTTACAATCGTTCACCGCCAAATGCAAAGATTTCTCTATCTCTCACAACAATTATATCTACCAAAAAACTCTTTTCTAATACACGATTAAATAGCGGAGAGAGTGTACGATAAAAAATTCCTTCGTAAATCCAAAAAGTCAATTAAAAAGAATAAAATATCACATTCATATGCACTATTACGGAACAACAAAAATTCGACCGAACATGAAGTATATAAAAATTCTAAAACCATCAAAAAGAAACAATCTATATATGTACTGGTCGCACAACACGCGACACGTAAAAGACTAGTACTTAAATAAAAGGCACGGTGGACAAGAAATAATGCCTAAGAAATATTCAAGAACTACCGTCGAATCGATCTCGTCCGTCGGATGGGGTTGATATGATGTCAGCGACTTATTAGGGGTAAAACAGAGATTTCATAAATAATTTTCAATAAAAGGCACAGTAAACAAGAAATAATGCCCAAAAAATATTCAAGGACCACCGCCAAATCGATCTCGTCCGTCGGATGGAGTTGATGTGATGTCAGCGACTTATTAGGGGTAAAAATAAAAATTCAAAAATTCAATTTATTCCAATTAAAAAAAAACCCGTAACCTTTTGAAAAAAAAACCCCTAACCTATAAAAGAACGTCGTTTCAGGATTTAACTTTGGAATCCCCACTCCTGAAAACAATATATTTTCAAAATCTGAAAGTTTTTGGTTAAAAAGCAGCAACAAAATGACTTCGTTTTGTGGGCTTCTCCAGGGAAAAAAAAAACAAAAAATAACTCACACCGTTTAAAATCCGAAAACAGCCCCCGTCATTGTTCCCAGTTTTTTTTCCCTCTAATAACCTCCATAAGGTAGTGCTTCGCCAACTCAGGTCTCCCTTTGTTGATTCAGCCGCCGCTGCCGCTTCCCTCTCTGCATCCTCCGCTACCACTAAACCGCGAAGATATATTTTCCTTAAACATGCTTCTCCAATTCGTACCATCCCGATTCCACTTCCACAAATTTAACCAAACAAAAACTCTAAATTCTACCGGAGTCACCCCGTCGAAGAGATTTTGCAAGAATGACTTTCTTCACTTGTACGAGATCAAATTCGTGGGGGAGCAACCGCATGTATCGTATCACGGTGGACATCATGACAGAGAAGCGAGGCGGAGCTAGGTGTTTGGACGGAATAGGATTAGGAAATTACCTTTTTATTTGATTTGGAGTTGTATGTATAATAGGACTAACAAATTACTGTTTAATTTATATTTATATATTTCCATAAATTTGGAATTGTAATATGAATAGGCAATTCAGTTCCTCTTTGATTTCGGATTTGTTTTGGGATGAGAATAGAACTCCCCTGTCGGCCAGCATGTCTGTAAAAACCCCTAGCAACCTCACAACTAAGATCACAAAAGGCTTCCTTCTTCAGCTTACCGGTTTCTTTGATTTTTTCGTCTTTGATTCAGGTAAATCTTTTTTAACCTTTTAATTTTTATTATTTTTTTTACCTCTCTATGGTAAAGGAAGCTTG